GCTGCAGTGGAAGGTCCAGCTCACGTTCTACGTGCATGGGAGGCCTCGGACATAGAGACTACCATGCTGGAGCGGCACGCAGAACGTCTGAGGCAGCTTGGCGTGAGCACGCAAGCCAGGGATATGTGTCAACTGTACAAAGACGTGAGCCTGACTCCGAGTCCAACCGTTGGTATCATCCTAGGCACATGTCCAACGGCATCGTGTTGCAAATACTTGGGGTCGGCGCTGCGAAACTACACGGGGCGTGTGCATGGCAAACTCGAGAGGAGTCCCGTGTACGACTGCATGGCGTTCGAAGCTATTGCTGAGCACCTTCCCCACGCTACAGTGATTTCAGTCATGCGCCGTACGGAGCTTATTAGACTGGGGGGGGCACACCAGCGCATGAGGCATCTATGGGACAAGTACCTGGGCATCGTCCCCAAACATGCAAACATGGGCCAGACGAGCAGAATCATCATCTTCAAAGTGGCCATGATTTGATTGCGAAGGTTAGTACGGGCGGCCCGATGTAATATGCTCAGCCTTTGGTCAATGTGTGCGCAGCAGCGACACCCAACGGGTGGAAGATCCTCTTCGCGGCGGACTGGGACGGGTCTTTAGCTCACGCGTGCGCTCTCAGCGTTCTTGCTGGCGTGCGCTCGAAGGATTGCTTCTAGACGAGAGCCCGTCAGCTCGATATAGGGGGATAGACTGGTACGTACGCAGACTGTCATGGGTTCGCGAATGGCTACATAAACAAACAGTTCATGGACGAGCTCCTGCGTAGCAACAGTGGAGCTCCGATGTGGCCAGATGACGGAGTTCCGCCAGGTATTATTCAGCAGCATGCCAGCCCCAACACTGCAGTGATGTGGTTGTTTCAACAGTGCGTACGAGATCGTAGAGCAACAGTCGTCTCGGCAACGGCCCGATGGAGGGGCCTAATGTGTGAGTTAGCTCTGCAAGTCGGCAAGAAGTGGTCGTGCAGCTGTGTACGGACCAACATGCACATCAGTTTCGGCGTTACATGTACAAGGTCGATGGGGGGAGCCTGGTTCTGCGTTTGCCACCCGCCCGTCTGGTCCATCAATTGTCTTGTGAAATGTGCTGTTGCTGCCACTCACTGTGTGTAGTCTGTTCGTCCACGGTTTCTGTGGTTATTTTCGCTGGAATTAATTTGTCATGTGGTCTCGGGTTGCTCTCCTGCACATGGTCATGGCTGCTCGTGCCTACTGTGAGGTGCTGCGAGGCTAAGTTCATTACAGTTTACTGGTGATGCTGGACCTTTTTGTGTAAGTCGCAGGTGTATTGCAGTCCTTCGATGGGCGGCCTGCTGGTCAATGTTCCAGCAACTGGTGTTGGGCAGCGAGGTTGTTTTCGAGAGTGGTGATTTAATGTTGGAGATTAACTGGTTGCTTTGCATGGTGTAAGGGTACCCGATGATCCGTGTAGCTGTTGCACTGTATTGGGCCGAATCGGGTCACCTGCGGCTCAACTTAGTGGGCATATGTCCAATTGCTGGCGAGGTATTAATCCGAGATGTCGGCGTTCGTTGCTCCTCGGGCTCCAAGACCCACCTGTGCTTCGTGTACGTGTTCGTCTCCTTCGCGGGCAAGTTGGGGGACAGCTTGCTTTGGTGAATCATGAGCTCGATCCGCGATTGGTCTCCTCATCTCATCACCCCCTCCTCCTCCACCTCCTCTTCCTCCTCATTCTCCTACTCCACACCATCCTCCTCCTCCTCCTAGTCGGCGTCGGAAGATCAGGCATTTGGAGCCCCGACGGAGGGATGATTTTCAGTGAAACTCGCTCACACGACTTACGGACCCTGACAGCCACACAGGTTGCCCTGCCGGGGCCAAGGTAGAAGGAGAAAAACAAGTATAACAATATGTGCAGCCCTTTCGATACCGCACCTCTTTGCGACCTTTCCCAGAGTGGCTGAGTCGTGAAGCGATGGATGTGTGTCGCATCTTTCCAATTTCTGGAAGATTGGAATGTGACCTGGACAACCACGACGAGCCAAAGACGCAGAGAACGGACCCGCCGCATCCACGCGCGGAAATGCCAGCTTGCCAGGATTGCAATTCGTGAACAGGCGGCTGCTCGAGTCCAGGGAACGGACATCGAGGCGAACTGCATCAAGGTACACGAGAGGAGAGGGCATACGGCAGCGGGGAAGTTTGTAGAGCTTGCTCGGCTCCCCCCTCCCCCTGCGTCCTGTGGGGCACAGGGGGAAGAGCTGCCAGGGGAGTTCGCAGAGCGGTCTCGGCTCCCCTCAGCACATGCGCCCACACGGGCCCAGGCGCAGCCCGTCTCAACGACTCGCGGATCTTCCAGATTGGAAATGGAAACGCTGTCACAGGAGATCGAAGATCAGTTCCGCCGATGGAATCCGATTGGCCCTGCTTCGCATTCGTTTGTTCGCCGCCGAACAAAACTGGAGGCAAGGCTGGACAACCGTGGCAACCTGCTCCCCCCTGAGGGGGCCGCTGCACTCGAGTAGCCTCGGGAGGCGCCGAATCAAAACACCGCAGCGCCAGAAGCGCTGAGAGAGCCTTGTGGCCGCGGCACAGAGGGTCGGAGGTCATTGGCTTCTGCCGATGATGGACCTCGAAAACCCGTGGACTCCCCGAGTGAGACGGACGAGAAGGAAGTCTGGAAATACGGAGGCCAACCCAGAGTGTCTGGAAATGTTGTCCCAAGAGATCGACTCGCTTGTTCGCAGGAGAGCGAAGGAGGTCTAGGAAGATGGAGGCCCCGAGGTTCAAAGGCCACCGACGGGTGCCGATGACGAACTTCGGAAACCCATGCTCCTTCATGACGACCAGAGATCGCAACGCTTCTGGGATTCTTCAGTTCTACAGCGACCCACGAAGGAGTCACAAAGGGCGGTTTGCAAACACTGCGCACGGAGAAGAGGATGCCCACTGGAGATTTGGTTGAAGTGCTAGAAGGTGTGCTTCACCCAAGGATTGTGTGGTTGCGGAGGAGGTGGATAAGGAGCAGCAAAATTCTCAACGGGGGCTCCCTCTGACCTCTTAGTGATTAAAGACACCGTTGTTGAAGGGTTTGTCATCGAAGAGCGGACACGGAAGCGCAACGGACGAACTTTGGACGACATCTATGACATCATGTGGAACGAGATTGGCCAGTATTCTTCTGCAGCTGAATTACGGCACCAATTGGCCTCTAGCGGCACAGTTCGCACTTTGCCGGATGTGGAACTCGCTCTTTCGGAATGGGAAAGCAGTGGAGTTCTTGCCAGCATGTGAGACAAATGCACAACGGCTACCCCGTGAAAATTCCGCTCTTTCAGAATGGGTAAGCACAGGGGTTCAACTGAACGCGTTTGGCGCGGAGGAGAAAATTGAATTAGCCTCGAAGAGAAAGCGGCACGCACTAGCGAGGGCATCTCGGGGTGCAGGCCGTCTCGCCCAGCGTCCCCCCCTCTCGTCTCTTGGTCTCTCGTCTTCGGTCCTCTTCTCCACAGGATACAGAAGAGGAATACGGCTCGCGAATCAAAGAGGGGCTCAGGGAACCTTCCTTATTGCGCAGGCCCGCTCGCACGGCCATTGGCAACACAGTGCCAGCGGTGCCGCACCCCTTGGTTTCATCGAAAAGCTACTGACTGGTGACACAGGGCTCCCTGCGAACGGGCCGCACGCTAGCCTGTGGTGGAGGCGGGGGGAGCGGGGAGGGAGTGGAGGGAAGGCCGCGTGACCGCTCCTGCGCAGGCCCTGGCAGGGACTTGATACGATGTCGAAGGGCTGCCGGGTCATAGCTGCGCACTACTCACGCAGGGGATGTTGCTAGTCGTACTCCACAGCTCCTTTGCAGGTGTCAACGTTACCCCCTCATGCGGATGTCCTGTCCTGGTCTCCTCCTCCTCCTCCTCCTCCTCCTCCTCCTCCTCCTCCTCCTCCTCCTGCTCCATCCTTCTGGCTCATCATCATCCCTTCCTCTGCTCCAACCCTCCTTTTCCTCCTCTTCCTCCCTCGTCCCTCCCATTGCCCATCCCTCCCTCCTCACTGCGTCCCTGCGCTCGCCCTGGAGGGGAAAGCGGAGTTGGCCAGCCGAGGGGTCGCGGAGAGCTCGGAGAGGCCCGTACTGCCGCGGCGTAGTGCCCCCATCCCCCAGCCGTGGATTGAAATCCGAGGGAAGGTCGTCGAGGACAATGATCGATGAGGGCATCTAGGATCCAAGGACCGAGGGAGGGCTGGGGAGGGATCAAGGGAAGACCGAGTGAGGACAGAGGGTCCAAATATTCGAGTGAAAGGCCCAACCATATGCAGTTGAAAGTACCGCAATGTGGGTATCGCTTTCGGTGGAGCTCCCATTTGGGCCACGAAACGTGTGCGGTGTGTACTAGGCGAGCGCGGTTGTGCAACAGGCGCTTCAACTGGGGCCCTAGGTGGAGCTCCTTATGGGGCCACGAAACGTATGTGGAGTGTGTGCCGAAACAGGTGCGGCGGTGCCATGCAGGCGCTGCCACTGGGGCCTTAGGCGGAGCTCCCTCCCTATTGGAACACGACGACGAAACGTGTGAGAGGTGTGCCGAAAAGGGTGCGGTGGTGCCATGCGGGCGCTGCCACTGGGGCCTCAGGTGGAGCCCCTTATGTGGCCACGAAACGTG